GACCCCCCAAGCCCCACAGCCCCCGGCCCCATGACCCCCCAGCCCCTGCCCTCCATCCCCATGGGCCCCCATCCCCCCAGTTCCCAGCCCCATGGCCCCCAGCCACTAGACCTTCCCCACAGAAGCATCAGTGCAGTGAGCACGTTCCGGCTGTGACACCAGCTGCAGCACCCACCAGCAGCAGCGCCTCCAGCAGCATCCTGCGGATGTCGGGCTCTGGCTCACGCTCTTTGTCCTCGGGCAAATACTGCAGCTCCACAGGCAGCCCTGGGGGGGGGCACAGCCTCAGGGTGGGGGGCACGGCCCACGTCCCCCCCCCCTCTGTGCTCAGACCCGCACTCACGTTCCATCTCATCCTCGGGGAATTCCTCGGGGCCGGCGAGGGGCAGCAGCAGGGAGGGCAGCAAATCCACCTCGTCGCTCAGCAGCCACTCGTGGTGCTCTGTGGGGGGGGATGGGGTGAGATGTGGGGCACACGGCCCGCCCCCACCCCAAAAAAGGGGTGAAGGCTCAAGTCAGAAGGCACAAGTGGGGGTCAGGGGGTGGGGAGGTCAGTAAGGGGAAACAAAGCAGTGAGCAGCGCCCGGCAGTAAGCAGTGCTCTGTGGATACAACGCCAACCAGGGAGTGCAATGGCGGGGGGGGACAGGTCCTTAAAGATCAAAGAGCCATGGGATGGTTGGGTTGGGAGGGTCCTTGAAGGTCATAGAGCCGTAGGACGGTTGAGTTGGAAGGGTCCTTGAAGGTCATAGAGACATGGGATGGTTGGGTTGGAAGGGTCCTTACAGATCACACAACAGAATGATTGGGTTGGAAAGGTCCTTACAGATCACACAACAGAATGATTGGGCTGGAAAGGTCCTTACAGGTCACACAACAGTTAGGTTAGAAAGGTCCTTACAGATCACAGAATGTTTGGGTTGGAAAGGTCCTAATAGATAATAGAGTCAAAGGATTGGTTGGGTTTGAAGCGTCCTTACAGATCACAGAACCACAGAAAAGTTGGATTGGAAAGGTCCTAACAGATCAAAGAGCCACAGAAAGGTTGGGTTGGAGTGTCCTTACAGATCAAAGAGCCACAGAATGATTGGCTTAGAAAGATCCTTACAGATCACAGAACTACAGAATGGTTGGGTTGGAAAGGTCCTTACAGATCACAGAAAGGTTGGGTTGGAATGGTCCTTACAGATCACAGAACAGTTGGATTAGAAAACTCCTTACAGACCACAGAATGGTTGGCTTAGAAAGGTCCTTACAGATCACAGAACAACAGAACAGTTGGGTTGGAAAGGTCCTTACAGATCACAGAAGCACAGAACGGTTGGGTTGGAAAGGTCCTTACAGATCACAGAACAGTTGGGTTGGAAAGGTCCTTACAGATCACAGAACGGCTGGGTTGGGAGGGTCCCGGCCCCAACCTCCCTCCTTTGGGCTCACGCTGTTGCCCCGTTCCCACGTCTCTGCCCCCACAGCCACTCTCCCACCCCCAGCTCCATTCAGGCGCTGACACCGATGCTCCCCGCTGCCCCCCAACCCGAGCCCCTCCCCCCATCCCCCAACCCCCCCCCATCCACCTCCCTCCCACCCAACCCCGCCCCCTCACCGTGCTGGAAGCAGCAGTTCCGCAGCGCTCCCACCGCTCCCCTCCGCAGCACGGCGCTCTCCGCGTCCCCCACGAGCGGCAGCAGCCGGCGCACCGCGCACCTGCGCCAACGGCGGGGAGGGGACCCTCAGCGCCCCGCCGAGCCGCGCCGAGCCGCGCCGCGCCCCGCCCCCCACGCACCGGGGGCGCTCCAGCAGCGCTCGGCGGCCCTCGGGGAGCCCGCTGAGGTTACACAGCAGCGCCCCGAGCTCCGGGGGCGGCCGAGGTCCCTCCAGCGCCCGCAGCAGCGCCTCCGCGCCGGCCCCGCTCTCCCGTTCGAGGCCTCCGAACACCCGCCGCGCGGCGCCGCGCTCCCGGCTCAGGTTGGCCAACAGCCCGCAGGCCGGGCCGGCCGGCAGCAGGCGCAGCACGGCGGGCAGCGCGGCCAGCAGCGGCTCTCGGGCCTCGGGCTCGGCCGACACGTTCTGCAGGCAGCGCAGCGCGGCGCCGGGCGCGGGCCCGAGCTCGGGCCCCGAGGCCTCCGCCACCCCCAGCAGCGCCCGCAGAGCTTCGGGCCGCGCCGCCAGGAGCCGCCGCCCCTCGGGGTCGCCGGACAGCGCCAACGCCGCCTCCGCCGCGCCCGCCCGCACCGCCGCGCCCGCCGAGGGGCCCAGCAGAACCGCCAGCTCCTCCAGCGCCGCCTCCGCCGCCATCTTGCGCGGGCCCCAAATGGCCGGGCGTCGCTTAGCAACCGCGGGATGCTCCGCACCGAACAGCCGGGGAGCGACGCGGAGACGGGCCAATCGGGTGAGGCGAACCGCCGGAAGGGGAGGGCCCGGCGGGGAAAGGGATGATGGGAAACGAGGCCCCGCGCCGCCTGGTGCAGCGCCCCCTGCAGGCCCGGAGGTGCACCGCCCACACCGCACAGCTCCCGACTCCCAATTAACGCTCCGTTTACCTCATTAACGCGGCGGAACTCCATTCCCAGCACAGCGACTCCTCACAATTAGCGCCGTTCCTCATTACCTCCTAATTAGCGCCCCCCCGGCCGTCAGCCACCGCACACCCCGTAGATTGGGCCGAACGCTGCTAATTAGCATGGGGCAATTAACGCAGACCCATGGAGGGTGCTGGAGCTGATGGGTTTGAGGGCAGAGCTGGAGCACCAGGAGCTCCCGGGGTGCCGTGAGCCAATGAATGGAGGGTCAGCCCGTGGGAAATTGGTAATTAATGGGTCAGTCAATGGGAAACTGGTAATTAAGAGTCAATCCATGGGAAATAGGTAATTAAAGCAAGACCCAGAGAGAACCCTGGGAAGAGGACCCCCAAGGGAACAGGATCTACAACCTGGACCTTCAAGGACTCTGCCAACCCAACCATCCCATGGCTCTATGATCTTTAAGGACCTTTGCAACCCAACCATTCCATGGCTCCATGACCATTCAGGACCCTTCCAACCCCCCTCACAGGGATCTATGATCTTCTAGGACCCTTTCAATCCATCCTATGCCTCTATGATCTTCTAGGACCCTTCCAACCCAACCATCCCATGTCTCCATGACCTTTTAGGACCCTCCCAACCCCCCCTCCCAGGGATCTATGATCTTTAAGGACCCTTTCAACCCATCCCATGTCTCTATGACCTTTAAGGACCCTGCCAACCCAGCCATCCCATGGTTCTATGCCCTTTAAGGACCCTACCAGCCCAACCATTCCACGGCTCCATGACCTTTTAAGACTCTCCCAACCCCCCTCCCAGGTATCTATGATCTTCAAGGACCCTTTCAACCCATGCCTTGTCTCTATGACCTTTAAGGACCCTGCCAACCCAACCATCTCATGGCTCTATGATCTTTAAGGACCTTTGCAACCCAACCATTCCATGGCTCCACAACCTTTTAGGACCCTTCCAACCCCCCTCCCAGGGATCTATGATCTTCAAGGACTGTTTCAACCCATCCCATGTCTCTATGACCTTTAAGGACCCTGTCAACCCAACCATTCCATGGCTCCATGACCTTTTAGGACTCTCAATCCCCCTCCCAGGGATCTATGATCCTCAAGGAGCCCTTCAACCCATCCTATGGCTCTTTGATCTTTAAGGACCCTTCCAACCCAACCATCTCATGTCTCTATGCCCTTCAAGGACCCTTCCAACTCCCCCTCCCACAGCTTTGCAACTGAGGATACGTGGCACCTGGTGACAGCTGCCAGTAGTGACCACAGCCCCCAGCATCTCACAGGGCCCACCCCCCTGTCCTATAGGGCCACGAATCACCAGCGTCCCCCCATAATAGCAGTGAGGACCTGGGGAGGACCGGGACCCCCCAGAAACCCCCATATCTCCATTCCCACAGCCATGGTGAGCTGTTCCCCCCCACCTCCCCCCAGGGAGCCCCGAGGGCAGGGCGGTGAATCACAGAAACCCTTTATTGGTGTAAGGATACATTGCTATGCTGTGAAGTCACTCGTCCCTGACGGGTGGGACGGGGCGGGCGGCCACGGGCGGAGCGACGGCGGTGGGATGGACCGGGTCCTTCACCCACAGTGGGGGGGATCCATGCGCCCCCACCCTCAGCTCCCCCTTCCCACTCCTCCTTCTTTCCCAGCCTGAGCGAAGGGGGGAGGTCGGGCAGCGTGAGGAGCAGAAGCCGAAGGCAAATCCTCCCCTGGGGCAGCAGTGGGGCTGAGACGAGACCCACCCCTCTGCAGGACGGCCCCACGTCAGCACAGCACAGCTCGGATTTGGGGGGCAGACCCCCACAGTCAGAGGGGGAGGGGGTTTGTGGGATGGGATGCCCCAAAATAGAGCGGGGCCCTGGGTGGGCTCCCAGCTTCGGGGCAGCTCGGGGTTGTGCGCGCTCAGCTGAGCCCTGCCTTGAGCAGGAGCTGTGAGGCGGAGGGAGAACGTGGGGAGATGCTCCCACTGTGTGCCCCCAAGTACAAAAATCAACACCCCGAGACCCCCCCCAGCCCCGCCCTGCCGCTGCCCAAAGTCAATGCGTGGTTCAGAAACCAAACAGCAAACCCCCTCCCCCCTCCCACCCCCCCAACATCCCCCCAAGAGGCGCGGGGCGATGCAGAACCTCCCGGCGAGGACTGAAAAACCAGAAAATGAACCCAAAAGGGAGAAGAGAATGGCGATGGGAGGGTAAGAGCAAAGCAAACCTCTTTGAAACGAATGGACTCTTCCTCGGAAAGGACAGAACACGGAGCTCTTCGGGAGGGGTCGGGCAGCCCCCGGCCCCACTGCTGCTGCTGGGGGCAGACAGACGGATGGATGGACGGATGGAGGAAAAGTGCTTGAGGGAAGTCCAGCCCGGCCTGGAGCCACGAGGAGTTTGCAGGTCAGTGCAGCCAATGAGATCAGCAATAAAGTGCAGCAAAGCTTCTCGGAGCTCGGCACGGCGCGGCTGTCCATCACAGCCCCCCAAAGGGGATGGAGAGGGGATCCATCACAGCCCCCCAAAGGGGATGGAGAGGGGATCCATCACAGCCCCCAAAGGGGATGGAGAGGGGATCCATCACAGCCCCAAAAAGGGGATGGAGAGGGGATCCATCACAGCCCCAAAAAGGGGATGGAGAGGAGATCCATCACAGCCCCAAAAAGGGGATGGAGAAGGGATCCATCACAGCCCCAAAAAGGGTTGGAGAGGGGATGCACTTTGGGGGGGAACGGCAGCCATTCTCAGTTCGCTGTGCTCCGAGGTGCTGGGGGCACTCCAGTGTGTGTGTGTGTGTGTGTGTGTTTGTGTGTGTTTGTGTGTGTGTGTGTATGTTTGTGTGTGTATGTCTGTGTGTGTACAGCAGAAGCAGCTCTGGGATCACATGCAGATCACCTGCAACCTGTGGGTGGGAAGGGGAGGTCACCATGGAGCGCTGTGCTGGGCTGCCCTGCAGCATGGAGCAGACGCTGCACACACACTGCACACACGCTGCACACACACTGCACACACACTGCACACACGCTGCACACACGCTGCACACACGCTGCACACACGCCACACACGCTACACACACACTGCACACACTGCACACACGCTGCACACACACTGCACACACACTGCACACACTGCACACACGCTGCACACACGCTGCACACACACTGCACACACGCTGCACACACACTGCACACACACTGCACGCACGCTGCACACGCTGCACACACACTGCACGCACGCTGCACACACACTGCACACACACTGCACACACACCACACTGCACACACGCTGCACACACGCTGCACACACCTGTCCTCCTCGATGCTGCCGCTCTCGGGGTCGTTGGGGTCTCTGCTCTCCTCCGTGTCCTCCTCCCTGAGGTCCATGTCCAGCTCGTTGCTCGCCTCGGGCCGGGTGTAAGCATACCCACTGCAGGAAAAGGATGAGAGCGTGTGGTTGGCACCACTTCAGGTCCTGGCTGAGCGCCGTCTGCTCCGGGCTTTGGGGTCCCATCCAAAACAGCCAATCAATGGATCTGATCTGTAAGGACCCTTCCAACCCAATCCAATAATCCCAGAGTTCTATGGTCTGTAAAGATGCTTCTGACCCAACCCTTCCATGGCTCAAAGATCTTTAAGGATCTATCCAACCCAACCCTTCCATGGCTCTATGAATTTCAAGGACCCTACCAACCCAACCCAACCATCCCATGGTTCTGTGACCTTTAAGGACCCTACCAACCCAACCCAACCATCCCACAGTTCTGTGACCTTTAAGGACCCTTCCAGCCCAACCAAACTCTTCCACGGCTCTATAATCTTTAAGGATCTACCCAACCCAACCATTCTGCAGCTCAACCATCTTTAAGGACCTGCCCAACCCAACCGTCCATGGCTCTATGACCTTCAAGGACCCTTCTGTGGCTTTGCAATCTTTAAGGACCCTTCCAACCCAGTCATCCTATGGTTCTGTGGCCTTTAATGACCTTTCCAAACCAACTCAGCTCTTCCATGGCTCTGTGACCCTCCAGGACCCGTTCCAACCAAGCCACTCCATGGCTCTACGATCCATAAGCGCCTCTCCAACCCAGCCCACGCCACGGCTCTGTGACATGGCGTGCACAGCAAGCCGTTCAGGTGCCATCGCCGTGGGCTGACCTGATGGAGCGGCAGGTGAAGAAGACGATCCTCTTCAGCCTCTTGTTGTAGAAGAAGTAGTTGAAGGACCAGAGGCTGCCGTCCTCTCCAAAGGGGTCTGAATCCAGGTCTGGGTTGTAGCTGCAACACCAAGAAACGGCGGTGAGGAACACTGCGCTGAACCCTGCTCCCAACCCCAGCCCGGCCCCACTCACAGAACCACGGACTCATTCAGGTTGGAAGAGACCTCTGAGATCCACCACTTCAATCCCAACCTACCCCAACGTGACCTTAAATACAACCATGGAGTCATAGGGTTGAAAGAGACCTTGAGGACCAACCTGTCCAACCCCAACCCACCCTCATCATAACTAAATAAAACCATAGAGACATTAAGGTTGGAAGAGATCTCTGAGATCCACCAGTTCAACCCAGCCCATCATACCATGACCCTAAACAGAAGCACAGAAGCATTAAGGCTGGAGAAGACCTCCAAGCTTCCCCAGTCCAACCCCACCCTACCCCACCATGACCCCAAATAGAACCACAGAGTCATTAAGGTTGGAAGAGACCACCAAGGTCATTTAGTCCAACCCCAACCCACTCCCATCATGACCCTAAACAGAACCAAGAAGACATTAAGATTGGAAAACACCTCCAAGATCCACCACTCCAACCTCAGCCCACCACACCATGACCCTGAATAGAACCACACAGTCATCAAGGTTGGAAGAGATCTCTGAGATCCACCAGTCCAACCCAGCCCATCATAACAGACCCTAAATAAAATCACAGAAGCATTAAGGTTGGAGAAGACCTCCAAGCTTCCCCAGTCCAACCCCACCCCACCATGATTATAGATGGAACCATGGAGTCATGAGGGTTGAAAGAGACCTTAAGGATCCACTGGTCCAACCCCAACCCACCCAACCATGGCCCAAAAAGAACCACACAGTGGAAGAGACCTCCAAGATCCACCAGTTCAACCCCACCCCACCATGACCCTAAATAGAATCTTGGAACCATTAATGTTAGAGAAGACTCCAAGCCTCCCCAGTCCAACCCCACCCCCCCATGCCCACTGGCCATGTCCCCAAGTGCCACATCCCCCCAGTTCCTGGACACCTGCAGGGATGGTGACTCCACCACCTCCCCTTGCAGCCCATGCTGGTGTCTGACTGCTCATTTTGAGAAAAAATTGTTCCTAATGTCCAGCCTGGCAGTGCTGGGACATTACCTCTCGTCCTTTCTCTGCACGTTTTGAAAACAGAAAGCAGAAAACTGGGGCCGCCCCTCTTCACTCGCAGAGCCAACAGCGGAGCCCCTGCTCTGCTCCAGCCCTTATGCAGGGGTGGGCACACCAAAATTTCCAGTTTTACTGAAAAATCACAGATCTGCAGGCCGCAGGGTGTCCCATTACCTATAGATGTCGCACTCAGAAAGGCAGATCTCCTCATCCACGGCGTCCCACAGGTGTGGCTTCAGGGCGTTGAAATCCTCGCGGACCGCAGAGAAGAGACTGCAGTTGACAGCATTGATCACCTGCAAAGGGAGTGGGGTTGTGAGAGGGATGGGGGGGTCTTTGGGCTGTGAGAGGGATGGGGGTGGGGGTCCCGGCGTCCCCACCGCCTCTGTGACACCCGGAGGAGACACTGTAGGCAAACAGGAACCTCAATGCAGAGAATTCCCAAATCCCAGAGTTGTAGGGGCTGGAAGGGATCACCAGACATCCCCCAGTCCAAGCTCCCCAGAGCAAGTTCCATCACTGCAATGCATCCCAGGGTGCCACCACTGGCCTTCTTGGCCACGAGGGCACATGGCTCGTGGTCAACCTGTTGGCCATCATCAAGCACAACAACATTCTGCTGGCTCACGGTCAACCTGTTGGCCACCACCAAGCACAAGGACATTCTACTGGCTCGTGATCAACCTGTTGGCCACCATTGGCCATGAGGCCACACTATTGGCTCATGGTCAACTCACTGGACACCACTGGCCACAAAAATACACCGCTGGCTCCTGGTCAACTTGTTGGCCACCACTCGACTACTTGGCCATGAGGGCACACTGCTGGCTCATGGTCAACCTGCTGGCCACCACTGGCCAAGAGGGCACACCACTGGCTCGTGGTCTACCCATTGGCCACCACTGGCCACAAGGACACGCTGTGGGCTCGTGGTCAACCTGTTGGCCACCACTGGCCTCCCTGGTCACGAGGGCAGACTGCTGGCTCATGGACAACCTGTTGGTCACTGTTGGTCATGAAGGCACATCACTGGCTCACGGTCAATCTTTTGGCCACCATCAGAGCACAGGGACACTACTGTCTCATGGTCCACTTGTTGGCCACAGTCGGCTACGAGGGCAGACTGCTGGCTCACGGTCAACCTGCTGGCCACCGTTGGCCACAAGGACACACCATTGGCTCACGGTCAACCTGCTGGCAACTGCTGGCCACAAGGACACACTGTTGGCTCACGGTCAACCTGCTGGCCACCGTTGGCCACAGGGACACACTGTTGGCTCACGGTCAACCTGCTGGCCACCGTTGGCCACAAGGACACACTGTTGGTTCACGGTCAACCTGCTGGCCACCGTTGGCCACGAGGACACACCGTTGGCTCATGGTCAACCTGCTGGCCACCACTGGTCTTGTAGCCATGGAGGCTCCCCGCTGACTCACCCTGCGGCTCCACAGAACTGGGTGTCCCCTCCCCACCCACCCCTGGGCCCCACGCACCCAGTTGAGGCTGGGCTCCCGGCTGAACTCGTGGCTCTTGGCGGCGCTGAAGTCGTAATCGGGCCGGAAAGACTCGTTGAGCGTCGCGATCAGGTAGAAGAGCGTCTTGCGGCTGCACTTGTCGCTCAGCGGCCCCTCGTCGTCACCGCTCTGACTCTTGCTGAGCCTTGGAACAAGCAAAGTCAGAGGCGCCCAGCCCGTGCACCAGGGGCTCTGACCAACCCCACCCAGCCCCCAGCCCGGAGATGTCCGAGCACCGCCGGTCCCGTACCTGCTGGGGCTGATCCCCGTGGTCTGAGGGGGTGACAGGGCCTCCAGGACGTGGGGTTGGCCCTCCTGGCAGAACTGCTTGAACATGTGCTTGTCGTCGCCGGCCATCTTGCAGGAGTAGCTCTCGATCCTGCGGAGAAACCACAGCGTGGTGTGAAACACGTGGGATTGGCAGAGCCAGGATCGACCCCAGAGCTCTCACGTGTGGCTCGGGAATGCAGAAGCCCAAAGGAGCCCTTGGGTGAAGCCTAAAAGCTGCTCCCCCCACTGCCCAGCTCCAACGTGGGAATGAGAGCTGGGCACGGGGTCCCACAAGGGCTCAGTGCTGCTGATCTCAGCTTCTGTTGATCCCCGCGGGGCAGAATGACCAATTCCCCACCCTGGCCAGGTGTCACAATCACTGTTGAACAAAACTCCCAGCAAAGTTCTTCCAGACGCCTGAGCTGCTCCATCACCTGCAGATCCCTCCAGCCCTCCCGTGAGATGGGAAAGCCAACATCTGCAGCTCCCACCCACCCCTGCTCCGCGTCCTCTGCATCAGGGGAAGAGGAGAGGAAACACCATGGGGTGTTCATACAGAGCAACGATGGAACGAGGGGGAAGGGACCTTTAAGATCAGTGTGGAATCACAGAATGGTTTGGAAAGAGCACGGCCCCACAGAGCTGCCTGGGGATGTGGTGGTGTTGTGGTGGGGTGACAGGTGCCAGCAGTGTTGGCAGAGCTGTGTAGGGCTGGAGGAGGAGGCAAGGGAAAGAGAAACCAGCTGCTAGCCAATGTGAAAGGCACCAAATATGGTAAACCAGCAGTACCACGGCATGGCAGAGGAAGGAACAGAGAGCCAAGGCACAGAGGTGTTACCAGAGGGGAAACTGAAACAGAGAGAGGAAGGAGAAAGCCTGGGCACGGAACAGCAGCTGGCTCCAATTATCAAACCACAGAATAGTTGTGTTGGAAGGGTCCTTAAAGATCATAAACCCATGGGATGGTTGGGTTGGAAGGGTCCTTAACGATCACAGAGCCCGTCATGTAGTGGTTGAGTCGGGAAGGTCCTTAAAGACCAAAGAGCCGTGGCATCGTTGGGTTGAGAGGGTCCCCGAAGATCACAGAGCCATGACACGGTTGGGTTGGGAAGGTCCTTAAAGATAATAGAGCCACGGGATGGACCTTACAGACCACAGAACCATGGAAGGGTTGGCTTGGAAAGGTTCTCATCGTAGAGAGCCTTTTTGTACAGCTGCTCTCCTCATGTTACCAGCTCCGTTTGGGCACTGAAGGCTGCAGTGAGGTTTCCCAGTGCCTCCCCAGGCTGAACCCCCCCAGCTCTCGGCCTGGCCCCATAGAGCCCCCTCCCCTCTGCAGAAGCAGCCCGGGGTGCAGCTGGTTCTGCAGCCCACCCAGTGCCGGCATCACTCACCTCCCAATGATGTGGGCATCCCCCGTCTCCACCGTCAGTTGGGAGTTTATTGCTTCGAAACTTGAGTTTTCCAACAGCTTCATTGTCTCCGTGCTGGGCTCAAAGCGATTCCCTGTGCGGCAGCGGCAGCAAGGCGTGTGTCCTGCGGGAAGGGAGCGTCTCAGCCGGGGAGAGGGGACCCCAAAGCTTTGGCACGAGTGCTGGCTGCAGGCAGCACAGAACTGAGAAGCGAAACGAGCAGGAAAAATGGGAGCTGGGGGCGTGACGGGCACCTGCTTTGCTCTTTGTGCTGCTACAGACCTCAACCGTGCCAGGGTTGAGCAGCCACAGAAACGGAATCCCAGATCTGTAGGGTTGAAGGGGATCTCTGGAGCTCCCCCAGCCCCACCTGCCCCCTCCTCCCACCCCCACCCTCCAGACACCCATCAGCGCTGCTCAGACCCCTCCCAGCCTTCTCTCCCCCAGCGCACAGCCCCGGGGCTCTCAGCCTGTCCCCACCAGGAGGGGCTCCAGGTCCCCCCCATCTCCGCACCCCCCGCTGGGCTCTCCCAGCAGCTCCCAGTCTGCCCTGAACTGGGAGCCCAGCACCGGGCGCAGTGCTCCAGCAGCGCCCTGCAGGGCAGAGCAGAGGGGAGCAGCACCTCCCTGCCCTGCTGGCTGCACTCTGGCAAAGCACCACAGGGTTCCATTGGCCCTCTTGGCCACCAGGGCTCACTGCTGGCTCATGGTCAACCATTGGCCAACTGTTGGCCAACCACTGATGAACCATGGTCAACTGCTGGTGAACCACTGGCCAATCACTGGCCAACTGCTGGGTAATTGCTGGCCAACCAGGCCCCTCTCTCGCCCTGCTGGCTGAGCTCTAGGCAAGGAACCCCAGGGTCCTGTGAGCCTTCTTGGCCACCAGGGCTCATTGCTTTGGCCTTGTGGTGAAATGTTGGCCAACTGTTGGCCAATCTCAGGTGAACCACAGTCAACTGTTGGTCAATTGCTGATCAACTTTTAGCAAGCTGCTAGTCAGCTGTTGATGAACCGCTGGTCAACCACTGGCCACCTGCTGGGTGGCCAACCAGACCACTTTCCTGCCCAGCTGGCTGTGCTATGGGCAATGCATCCCAGGGTTCCGTTGGCCAACTTGGCCACCCTGGTCAACCACTGGCAAAGTGCTAGCTAACAAGAATTCTTCCCCCACCCTGCTGGCCGCTCTCTTTGCAGCACAGCTCAGGGTACCATCAGTCTTCTTGGCTATGAGGGCACACTGCTGGCTCGTGGTCAACCACTAGCCAAACGCTGGTCAACCATTGGCCAACCAGGACCCCCTCAGGTCCTTCTCCACAGAGCTCCTTCCCAGCAGCTCAGCCCCAGCCTGTACTGCTGTGTGCAGTTACTCCTCCCTGGAGGAACAACCAGCAGCGAGCTGCCCCGTTCCCCTCCCCACAGCTGCAGGTCACTGGCCAACAGCAAGAGCCAGCAGGGTGTTCTTGCTCAGTGCTGCCCGTGGTGGACATTTTGAATGGCTCCCTGGTCCTCAAAGCTCACTAAAACCCGAGTGTTTGGCTGCCGACCCCAAGGCTCAGTCAGTTTCCTCCCACAGGTCTGTGCCTGATTCCTCAAAGTTCTGTGTGGGAAAGGATTGGGCACTGCGGGGAGCACGGGGGAAGGGGAGGAGAGACCCCGTGGAGGTGGGGAGCTGTGTGCCAACCCACAAAACGGGGGGTCAAAGTGGAGCATGGGATGGGTAGGTTGGGAATGTCCTTAAAGGTCACACAGCCACGGGATGATGGGGTTGGAAGGGTCCTTAAAGATCATAGAGAGGTGGGATGGTTAGGTTGGAAGGGTCCTTAAGGGTCATAAAGCCATGGGATGGTAGGGTTGGAAAGGTCCTACAAGGTCATAGAAATATGGATTGGTTGGGGTGGAAGAGTCCTTGAAGTTCAAAGAACCATGGAATGGTTGTGTTGGGTTGGAAGGGTCCTTACAGATCACAAAACTATGTAAAGCTTGAGGTGGAAGAGTCCCTGCAGATCAAAGAACCGTGGAATGGTTAGGTTGGAAGGGTCCTTACAGATCATAAAGCTATGGAATGCTTGGGTTGGAAGAGTCCTTTAAGATCATAGAGCCATGGGATGACTGAGTTGAAAGGTTCCTTAAAGACTGTAAAGCCATGGAATGGTTGAGTTGGAAAGGTCCTTACAGATTGTAGAACTATAGGATGGCTGGATTGGAAGGGTCCTTAAAGACCATAAAGCCAGGAAATGTTTGGGTTGGAAGAGTCCTTACAGATCACGAAACCATGGGATGGTTGGTTTGAAAGGGTCCTTGCAGATCACAGAGCCATGGGATGGTTGGGTTGGAAGGGTCCTTACAGATCACAGAGCCATGGGATGGTTGGCTTGGGTTGAAAGAGACCCCAAAACCCCCCCAATCTGTGTGCTGGGTTCCCCCCCCACCACCTTAGGCTGCCCACAGCCCCATCCACGGCCTGGGGCACCTCCAGAGATGGGGCACCCCGAGCTGTCCCACATCCCTGACAAAACCCCCCACCATGTTTCCTTCAGCCTCGTACCACTGAGCTGCCACCCCAACCCCCTGTATCCCACCCCAAACCCCTCCCCACATCTCTTTCAGCCTCCCACTCCCCCCCCCCAGCAGCTCAGCACACAGCACAGCCCCACAGGCAGCAGGAAACCACTGCATTTCCGCACAGCACCACAGCTCCCAACACACCCAAAGCTTCAGCTCTGGGATTTCCTTGCAGCAGAGGCACTGAGTGCTGTGCAGCACTGCGGGTCTGCACGAATCCCTCTTTGGTTTTGGCTCAAAGGTTGCTTCCTGAGGCATTCCTTGTGATAAGGCTCTGACTTATCTAGGAGATGAGGGGTGGGTGCTGCTGTGGGGCAGTCAGCATCACTGTGTGGACAGTTTTACACCTGAAAGCATTTCTTTGCAGCTGTTTGCCTTTGGAACAGAGTGCTCAGGACTGTTTCCTGGCAGAAGACCCGGCCTGTGACAAATAACTTGCTATGGGAGGCTGGGGGATGATAGCACTGCATGCTGTGAAGGTACAGGTTGAAGCCCCCCTGCTCCCTCTTATCTGCTGGCAAGGCCCAGAAGGTGGGAACAAAAGGAGTTCCTGCTGAGATCCCAAAGCCAGAAGCTGCCGCTCCAAAAGGAGCTGACTGCACCACCTGGGACCTGTGAGTCAGGTTGTGCTGCCATTGGAAAGGAGTCAAAGTCGTCGCCAACCGAACAACCACCCCTGACGACCCATCTCTACTGAAGGTCAACGTCTGAGCTACCAACCATGGTGGATCCAGGTGGTGAATCTCCCTCTCTCTTGCTTTCTACAAAGACTCCTTGCTTTTATTTCCTATCTCTTTTCTATCGCCCTCCCTTCTCCTCCTTCCCTCTCCCCTCCTTTCCCCTTCGCTTCCCCTTCTCCTCCATTTCCCTTTCCTTTCCTTTCCTTTTCCTTCCCTTCCCCTTCTCTCCTTTCCCTCCCTTCCCCTCTCTTCCCTCCTCTCCCCCTTCTCCTCTCCTTTCCCTCCCCCTTTCCTTCCCTTTTCCTTCCCTTCCCCTTCCCCTCTCCTCCCTCCTCCCCTCCTTCTCCTTCCCTTTCCCTTTCCCTTCATCTTCCCTTTCCCTTTCCTCCCCTTTCCCCTTCCCCTCCTCTTTTCTCCTTTCCCTTTCCCTGTCCCTTCTCCTTCCCTTCCCGTTCCCGTTCCCCTTCCCTTCCCCATCTCCCTAAGCAGTGAGGATTTGCAATAAACTGCTCAGACCAGCATTTGACCCGTTGTGTCTTAATGTCACCGTGGGGTCTGCATGCATTAAAAGAACCTCCTCTCCCTCCTACAGATTGGAGCAGAGCAGGGCTGTGCCTTTATTTACGGCTGTAGGAGCGGTGCCAGACAGCGCAGCCTCTGGGGGAGGAGGCAGAGAACAGCCCGACCCAGCGCAGGGCTAATTATAAGCTGGGCTAATTATAAATTGTGCTTAATGGAAAGCAGAGGCAGAGTTTTGGGTGCTGGAGCTGCGGGGCACAGATGGGAGATTTGTAAACACAGGGGAGCGGATGCCAGCAAAGGGCTGAGCAGCCAAAACAATTAATCACACGGAAATTAATAACCTGCAGCCCTGATCCTCGGCCAGGAGAACCGATTGAGCAACAGCCATTGCTTGAGGTTGGCAAAGGGCTCCCGACGGCCAGGAGCTCAGCGCCAGCGCCTGCATGGAGCCCGGGGGCGGCTGGAGGAGCACGGAGCTGGGGCTGCCCGGCTCTGCTCCACCTCTCCAGCATGGAGTGTGTGGGCCCAGGGCTGTGGGACCAGTATGGGACCGGTATGGGACTGGTATGGGACTGGTATGGGACCGGTATGGGTCTGGTATGGGTCTGGTATGGGTCCGGTATGGGTCCAGTATGGGTCTGGTATGGGACTGGTATGGGACTGGTATGGGACTGGTATGGGTCCAGTATGGGTCTGGTATGGGTCCGGTATGGGTCCAGTATGGGACCGGTATGGGTCTGGTATGGGTCCAGCATGGACCCAGTACGGGTCTGCTATGGGACCAGTATGGGACTGGTATGGGCCCGGTATGGGTCTGGTATAGGTCCAGTATGGGACCAGTATGGGCTCGGCATGGGTCCAGTATGTGACTGGTATGGGTCTGGTATGAGTCCTTTATGGGTCTGGTATGGATCTGCTATGGGACCGGTATGGGTCCGGTATGGGCGCAGTACAGACTCGTTACGGCACCGGCACTCAGAACTGCGGGCCCGCCCCGCGTTCGGCCCGGCCCACAGCAGCTGCGCACCGGGTCCAGCCGCAGGCCCGGATCGGGGCCTACACGCTGCCGACCCCCTCAGGAGCCTCCTCCGAGCCGGGCCGCGCTGCCAGGACCCGGCCTGAGCGCGCCCCCGGTTCCACTCGGGGTTCCCCGACGGCGTCCGGTTCGGTTCCGGGCGCTGAGGTTGACGGGGCCCGGGCTGCACCGCGCGCAGGCCGAGCGCCCGCTCCCCGCGGACTGCATTTCCCAGCGCGCCCTGCGGCGGCGCGCCGCGCTCAGCAGGGCGGAAGGGCCGCAAAGCACGCCGGGAGATGTAGTCCGCAATGGGAGGGGGGGGCGTCGCGCGATGGCGGAAGCCCTCCGAGCGGACTCACCGGCGTCTCCCGGTCCCGGTGCGGCCTTCTGGCGGCGGTGCTCCTTCAGGCTCGGGGCGTGCGTAAGGGGCAGCGTCTCCGGGAAAAGCTCGAGGAGGGCGAGTGGGCTTCGGCCGCCGTCCGCCGTCTCACCCCGGCCCGCCGGGCCTCCGCCCACCCCGACATGGCCGCGGAGTGCTCGGGACGCAGCGAGCGGCTGAGGGAGATCTGAGGGATCCCCGAGCGGCGGCGGAGCGAGCGGCGACCGAGCGTTTCCTCAAGCGGCGGCGGACGACAACAAGCGGCCAGGCCCCACCCGTCCGTCCCGAGCGGAGCTCGGCGTCCCGCTCCTTCCCATTGGTTTACCGCCATGTCAATCACAACGCTTCTCTTCTTTTATTGGCTGGTCGAAGTGTCACTCGGAGCGGCTAACCACCTCCGGCATCCTATTGGCTGAACGGAACGTCAGTCCGCGCAACGCTCCCGCCCTCCGAGCGGACCTCGCCGAGCGCACCCCATAGGCCGCAGCGCTCCGCGCGCTGATTGGCCGCCGGGGACAAAGACGGAGGGAGCGGAGCCAATCACAGGCCTGGAAGGGCGGGGCGATGGCCCCGAGACTGTGGCGACGGCCCCGGGCCCAGCGCAGGGGCGCAACCCGCCGTGTCCGCACCCCGGGGACCCGCAGCGCCCCGGTAAGGGCCGAGCGGCCCGGTCAGAGCCCTCACGGAGCGGCCCCTGCCGGAAACCTGAGCGCGTTCCCACCCGTCCCTTCGGGTTCCAGTCCGGAACCTTCCTCGCGAGCCGCGTTTCCGGTCGGATCCCATTTCCGAGCTGCCCGCTTCCGGTCGGAGCGCGTTTCCGCCCGGACCACTGAGCGGGCGGAAGTTCCGGGAGGAGGCGGCGGCCATGGCTCTGCCCGGAGCCCCGGGCCCGGCCCCGGCAGCGGCCCCCGCGCCGCCGCCTCCACCCACGGTGCTGATGGCGGTGCGGGTGGGGGTACCGCAGCCGCCCCGCGTCCCCCCGCCGCCCGCCGCCGCCCTCCGCCTGCAGCTCAGCGTGGAGCCCGCGCCTGGCGGGCAGCGCCGCTTCCGGCTCGGCCTGAGGCAGGAGGAGGCGGCAGGAGGCGCGGTGAGAGCCGGCGGGCGGGGAGGAGGGGGCAGGGGGGTGAACCCGCGGGGCTCAGCCCGGCGCTGCCTCTCCCGGTGCTGTTGTTCCCCGGTGCTGTCTCCCCAGTGC